ATACAGTCAATTTGCTTTACAGTATATTCTGTGAAACGCTTAAACATACTGCAAAGACACGATAAGGCCCTACATCAAATGCAAGGATTATTATTATTTGCCGATTCTTGGAGACTATTAGGCGCAGGTTGGAAATGTATGTGTCAGGGTAACTGCTGGAGTTTAACCAGTGATAAAGCCTAGTTTGCCACAGTTGGCAGCTTTCCGCTGCTTGTCCAGCTGAAACCAACAACAACAGATTACTTTGATACAGCACCCTTCACATCAATTTCCAAGGCCCTGGATTGTCATTCAGAACTCTGCAGCTCGTGTACTGTCCCGCACCAGGCTTCGGGACCACATCACTCCCACCCTCGCTCGCCTCCACTGGCTCCCCATCCTCCAGAGGATTGATTTCAAGATCCTCATCCTCACCTACAAGGCCATTCACGGCCTTGCTCCCTCCTACCTCTCCAACCTACTATCCCCCTACCTACCTGCCCGTATCATCCGTTCCTCCGGCTCCGGTCTGCTCCACGTCCCCCGCCCCAATCACCCTACCATTGGTGGTCGGGCCTTCAGCCTCTCAGCCCCGAGGCTCTGGAACTCTATCCCCCAGTGTCTTCGCCGCTTCCTCCCTCTCCTCCTTCAAGGCCGGTCTCAAAACCTTTCTCTTTGACCGAGCCTTCAGCTCCCCTCTCGACTCTCTTCCCCCTTCTCACTCCCTCCCATCCCTCCCCTCAACCTAACCATTTCCCCCCTCCTCGTTCCCTCCCCTCCCCTCACCCTGACCATATCCCCCCTGCTCGGGTCATGACCCAACTGTGTAGCGCCTTGGGACGTCCTCCTGACGTGAAACGCGCTTTATAAATGGAATCTTGTTGTTGTTGTTGTCAAGAGTTTGCACCCGAGCTGGGGTTGGATTCTGGAGGGGTGGAGGCTAAGGGACTGAGGTTGGAAGAGGACTGAAGGTGCAGTGAAAGAGGAGGTTTTGAGACAGACCTTAAAGAAGGAGACCTTGACAACATGTGACAGAGCCCTCAGCCTCTCACTACACCTGCCCACACATCACCCGAAGCTACTTAGTTAATGTACATGTCAAATTGTGCTCAATAGACAGGATTGCGAGTGCATTCACTCCATCCAAGATCAATGTCGATTTTGCCTTTCTTTTTTCAACTCAGGTTTCCTGACCAATAATCCCCCAAATAAAATTGGTAACTCTCTCCATGGCTATTTTGGTGACACTTCTGGTCATTAACTGGATTCACGGGGTCACTCAGGAAATTTCCCAATTTGCCGCATACAAAAACAACAACAAGATTCCATTTATAGAGCGCCTTTCACGTTGGGAGGACGTCCCAAAGCGCTGGACAGTTGGGTCAGGACCCGAGCAGGGGGGAAATGGTCAGGGTGAGGGGAGGGAAGGGAGGGAGTGAGGAAGGGGGAAATGGTCAGGGGGAGGGAAGGGAGGGGGCGAGGAGGGGGGAAATGGTCAGGGTGAGGGGAGGGAAGGGAGGGAGCGAGGACGGGGTAGAGAGTTGAGAGGGGAGCTGAAGGCACGGTCAAAGAGAAAGGTCTTGAGACCGGCCTTGAAGGAGGAAAGGGAGGAAGCGGCGAAGGCACTGGGGGTTAGAGTTCCAGAGCCATACCCAGTCTGCCCCAGACCAAGGACCCATCAGCGTCTATTCAGAGGAGAGAGGATTGAGTTCAAAATCTTCATCCTCAACTTCAAGGACCCTCCATGGCTACCAAATTCCTACCTCTGTGACCCGCTGACCCCATATCATCCTGTCCTTTCCCTCCGGCTTGCTTCACATTCCCCGCCCAGCCTGACCGACCATTTGTAATCGGGCCTTCAACCTTTCTGCCCTCACCTTTTTGAACTCCGTCCCATATTCCTTTGCCTTGGCCCATCCATTGCCTCCTTCAAAGTATGTTTCAAGAACCTCCTCTTCGACCGAGCCTTCAGCCACCCTCCCTACCTTCCACCCTCCCCGATCCCGACCCACAGCTTGGGTCCAAATCCCTGACTGTCCAGTGCCTTGGGCCATCCTCCCGATGTGAAAGGCACTTTACAAATGTAATTTTGGTTTGTATTGTTTTCAGGTGGGTTGTGAAGGTTTCCTTCTTCAAGGTCTGTCTCAAAATCTCCCTCTTTATCATGTCTCACTATGTGTAATTTACTGATTGATGTTGAGACATCGGAAAGGTCTTGCAAGGGGGAGTGTCATGGGCATATTGTTTCTCAGGGATCTCCTATCTTTGATGAGCTACGTTTAAAAAAATATTTAATTTATTTAAGCTACAAAATATTAGGTATAAGTGGTATTCTGTAACAAAATAGTGCCAGAGATATCACACACTCTTGTAGAAATATACATCTATACTAATACAGAAAACAATTCTGACTGTGTGTCTGTCCGCTAATAAGACAACAACCAATTGACGTAGAAATATGCTTTATACTTCATGGGAAAGGTCTAGGGTGTGTCATGGGAAAATTGCTTAGAAGGATCTCAAATTGTTATATAAAGTAAAATAATCTAATATAAAGTATAATAATCCTTGCATTTGATATAATGCTTTTCACATCTTCTAGAGGTCTCAAAGCCTTCACAGAATATACTGTTAAATGAATTTACTATATATTCATGCACAAAATGCACATATATAGTACAGATTATATTAATAATGTGATATGAAGTATAGCAATCCAATATAAAGTATAATTATCTAATATGAAGTACAATGATTTAATATGAAGTATAACAATATAATATAAAGTATAATACTGAAATCTACATTCCATATTCGATGCTTTGGTCACTCGTGTAGCTGCAACGAGTACATCCCTACACTATATCACACATAGCACCCCTGCACTGTGTCAGCTAGTTATTAATAAGTGTAAAGCCACGTGAAAATATTCCCCACGTATTTTGCTTTCTTAATCCCAACAGAGGCAACTCGGGCAATGCTTTCAAATTCAGAACGGTTGAGCAAGGTTTAATGTAAACAGAATCCACTTCAAGGGTTAATGTAATCTCTTCCCAGGCGGGGAATTCACAACATGGAGATCCTTAATAATCCTTGCATTTGATATAGCGCTTTTCACGTCGGGAGGACGTCCCAAAGCGCTTCACAGAACATACAGTAAAGTGAATTGACTGTATATTTGTGGGCGAACGCGGCAGCCAATTGCGCACAGCAATGTCCCACAAACAGTCGTAGATTGAAAATGACCAATTTATTATTGTTTTGTTTTTTGGAGGGATTATTATTAGGTGTGTGGAGTAAGGAAACTTGCCCAAGGTTTCGCCCTGCCTGGAATTGAACTCAGGTCTCTCGCTTGCAAAGCGAGTGCTCTAACCACTGAGCTACAGGACTCCTTGGGTCAGACTATCCAAAGGGGAAGTGAAAAGTCAAGTCAGACCGCGATGGTGAGCAATGAAGTAAAAATAAACAGCGGCTGGAAACCGAGGCTAAATGCAGAGGTTGTGAATGTTGAAGAATAATTGGTGAGTGAGGTTTGGCCTGAATTAGCCTGCCTTCCCCCTGCCACCACTTCTAAGAATGGGTTAAATAAACGAGGAGTCCTGTAACTCTCCTCACAAGCGAGAAGACGTGGTTTCGATTCCTGGGCAGGGAGAAATGTTTGGAAAGTTTCCTTACTCCACACACACACCTCTGTTTACTGAGCAGAAAGTAGCAACCCAGTTGTCAGGAGTTTTAAAATAGTTTTATCAAACAAATGTGCCATGTTACAAGTTAATAAATTCCTTACTGCTACAAGGATAGACTGAATAGGTTAGGCCTTAATTTGCTTGAGGGGAGACATTTAATGGGGCCCTATGTTTAAAATTCTAAAAGGTGACCATAAATAAGCTGTTCTCACTGGTTGGGGATTACATAACCAGGGGACACAAATATATATACATTTGTCAGCCAAGGTCTGACACATGCGGACACCCAACACAGTGCTTAAGCTGAGATTTGCATCCATCCCACCGACACATGGAAACCCCAGAGATAGATTGTTGGAATGGATTGTACAGTCTCTCCCTGGAGGGACACATCCCACTTACATAATTCCAGATACTATCAGGCGCAGGTTGGCAAGAGCCAAGGCTTGGGGAACCCATAGTGTATGTTGGGGTAACTGCTGGAGTCTAACCAGTTAAAACTACATAGCTTGCCATTGATATCACTGTCTGGCAAACGTTCCCGCTGCGTGTCCAGCTTGGACCATACTACCTGATAGGCCTTTGGCTGTAGGGTTAACAGGAGCTGAGAGGGAGGATTCCCTGCTGATGAACCAGGCCGGGCTGGGCTGCCATGAGCAGTGGCCTGGAATACTACAGACCCTCCTCGCTTAGGAACCGGACTAGAGACCGTCACAGAGGGCTGCTCGATTCCGACATCCCATTGCTAGGCACGTAACCTTGGAACCAGTTCAGCTCCGCGGAGACCTCGTTTATCTCCCCCCAAGGAGGACAGTCCCACAAAATATTAGGCACCAAGTTATACAGTTGGTTTGAGAGATCTGAAGTGTCTGCTTTCAAAGAAAGTTCCTTCAGGATCAAAGGTTGAAAAGATAAGTCCAGTTACTGCACAACAAATCCCGAATGTGGCACTTGATGAGATGCGCTGTTTGAGGCGGGAACTCTGTTTAATGAGGAACTGTGTGAATGGAAACCACAACTTCAACCAACACAATTTGGCAAAGACGATAAAGTAGACGAGTATTTCACGCAATCCTCAGCACCACACGTAATTATTAAACAGCTAATCCTCTGTCTGCTGGCAGTAATGATTTCCTGTTATGAATGACTTGTGAATCCATGTTGCAACCGTGAAAGCCAGTCTTGCCGTCAAAATGCACGTCAATTTGTCTTGTTTTAAGTTCAGCAACAAACAGAGCATGAACTATAACATTCTAATAATAAACCAGATACACTCCTCAGATTAACACAGCTATTAATCCAGCAAACTGCTCCAGTAACCGCCAGCATCAGCAATTGTGGGAAGTTCAATTTATTTACAGAATGTGGTCACCTTGCTATACAGCTGTTACACTGGTACATTGGTTTTGAGGTAAACAATATACCTTTCTGACCAGCCTGACACGGAACTTGCATCAAAGGATATATTTTGGAACTACAACAAATGCACATATCGTATTTATCCAGTGCCTTTCACGTCGGGAGGATGATCCAAGGCGATGGATAGTGAAGAGTTTGCATCTGAGCTGGAGGTGAGAATCAAGAGAGGCAGAGGGCAAAGGGAAGGGAGGATGACAAGAGCAAACTACATGACCAAAGAGGAAGGTCTTGAGATGGACCTTGAAGGAGGCAAGTGAATTAACAATGTTATTTGGGGGATTGTTGGCCAGGACACCAGGTGAGGAAGAGAGAAAAACTCCCTTCTCTTTTTCAAATAATTTCTTCAAGTGAGCAGCAATTCTTCACACGATGAAGAGGCAAAGGAACATTAGTGCAACAAACATGATGTGTTATAACCTAATGGCACAAGAGGCCATTCAGCTCCCCCAGCCCAGCCCAGGCTGCCACAGCTTCTCATCTCCAATATCAGTTTCACAATAATGTTATACACTCTCCTCTCCATTAGATCTCACTCCAGTTCTGTTTGTGGGTTGTGTCTGAGCCACAGATACACAGTCTGGAGATGTTGGTGACACAATCCTCCTCCTGAAGGAGAGAAACAGAAACCAGATGATTAATAGTTGTCCCCACTACAGTGTTACCGACTCCGTACTTACCGAGAGGTCTCTCACATCACAGACTCCTGTGTGTCACTGAAACATACATAGGCGGTGGGTGATAGGAGCAGCCTCCGCGCCAGCGTCAAAGATATCCTCACCCCACTCCCACTGCCCCCCACCTCAGTTTGACCATTGACCCTGTCCCTGTAAAGCACTCCAAGATGTTATCCAATATGAAGGGCATTGTATAAATATAAGTTCTTGTTTCCTATCCACATGTCTCTGTTTACACAGTAGAACACAGTCGTTAGTCGATTGGCAGATCACTTTCTGGGGTGTGATAATCGCTCGAAAGAAAGAAATAATTTGGCCACTCAATCCACAACTGTTTTGGGACACACTGTGCGCAATTGGTTGCCTTGTTTCGCCCACAAGACACACAGACAATTCACTTTATAATATATTCAGTGAAGCGCTTTGAGACGACTGAACAAGGTGATGAGGTGCATATAAAGTGCAAGGTTTATTTCTTGTTACTGCTGTTTTTTAGGCTGACGTGGAGGATAATTTGTTTATCGCCTGTTCAACAAACACTCATGAAGTGATTCAGCAATTGTCTGGAGGATTGTTGGACAGGACAAGACAGTGGGAAGCTGACCTTATCCGAGTGCTTAGTGTCGTCTCAATACCTTTTGCATCTCATTACGTGGACAACAACAACAGCAGCAGAACAACAAGAATAACCCAGTGATGGCTTCCACCTGAAACAGATTGGAAATGTAATTAATAACAACAATAAAACAATAATCCTTGGATTTGATACAGCGACTTTCAGACAGAGAACCTCTCCAAATGCTTCACATGATTTACTGGTAAATTGCAGTGACTGTTTTGTGGGTGAACACGGCAGTCAGTTTGCGCAAACCAATGTCCCACGAGCAGCTGTGAAGTGAATGACTGGATGTATCTGGGGGATTGGCAGCCAGGACACCGAGAGAGAGAAACTCCTTCTGTTTTGCTGCAGGATCTTTAACTTCCGTCTGAACAGGCACAGACAAGACATTAATTTCACAACTCATCCAAAGGACGGCACCTCCAAACAGCACTGAATTGCAGTGTCACCTGAGACAGGAGTCCCAAACCCTGATGCGGGGGCTTCAATCCACAACCTCTGACTCAGAGGCAAGAGTGTGACTGATTGAGCCCGGATGACGCACAATTATACACCAATTAGCCTCCATCCCTCCTGCCCCCTCCCCAACCTTTTGGCAAAGATCAAGTGTAGCATCTATAATAACAATAATGATCCTTGCATTTGATATTGCACCTTATCACATCTTTGAGACGTTATTCAGGATTCTCTTGAGATGATATTAAGTCGGTAAAGCCAAATAATATTATTAAAATCAGCGGTATTGTAACATTACAATACATTTACGCAATCAGCACAATTGAGATCATATTACCTGATCCCAGCTTCTGTTGCAACTCAGTCAGTTGCTCTTCTCTGAACCTCTGCCCTAATTACACACTTCCACTTCCTTTTATAACAGTAATATAACTGTTTCGAAAAATGTGGCTGTGTTGTTTCTACACAGCTGTGCTGAAAGCTGGTGCTGCTTATCCTGACCTCTGATCTGTTTTTTTTTACTTCCTCAATCTTGCAATTATAGCAAGATTTTGCTTCCCCACAAAATTAACCAAATCTTGTTTCCATCTACTGCAACGTTAAAAGTACTCCACCCAAGAATGTAAACAACTCCACCCAAGAATGTAAACAACTCCACCCAAGAATGTAAACAACTCCACCCAAGAATGTAAACAACTCCACCCAAGAATGTAAAGAAAAACAGAAGTCGCTGGGAACACTCAGCAGGTCAGGCAGTATTTGTGGAGAAAGGTAAGTGAGTCAATGTTTCGGGTCATTGACCCTTCGTCAGAACCTGTGGTCCAGTCCGTTAGCTTCAGTTCTGACGAAGGGCCGTGGAGTCGAAACGTTGACTCACTTTCCTTTCTCCATAGATGCTGCCTGACCTGCGGAGTGTTCCCAGCGACTTCTGTTTTGGCTTCAGATTTCCAGCACTTGCAGTATTTTTTGTTTTGTCTGTACAAGAATGTTCCTGACTCATCAGTTGCTCACTTTCATCCTGGCATCTAGTCCCTTAAATGATTTTAATATTACTACTAATAGCTTGTTTAATAGCCCTTATACATAACCCCACCATCATCACACTTGAGCAATTATTCTCTACAGTGTCTCTAAGCACTTCACAGAATATACTGTCAAGTGGGCGAAACACAGCAGCCGATTTCATATAGTGACATCCCACAAATAGTCATGGATTGAATGACCACATTATTTATTTGTTTGAACGTTTGGTTTTTGTTTATTAATTTATTTTTGACTGATGAGAGTGTGGTGTGTATCTGCCTAACGCATGGATTGGATTTCCTGATGTCAGGTTGTGTCAGTGTAGGATTGTTCTCTCTCTCTCTCACCTGCTGAGCTGCTGTCAGGGCACAGATCTGCAGTGACTGGTTTGCTGGCTGTCTGGCTGACCGGGTTGTGAGCCACACACGTGTAGCTGTCTCGCTCCCGCCCCGTGACGTTGCTCAGATGTAATGTGGACCCATTGTAGACGACTGTGTTACCAGCAAAGCCCGAGACTTTCTCCCAGTGAAACAGTGGGTTTGTACCGTTGGGAGCAGAGCAGGTCAGAGTGGCAGCTGGCACAGAGCAGTTAGTGGTTACCTTCACCACGGGCTGGGCCACGGGCTCTGAAACACACAATGTCACATCAATGTCAATATCACACAGTAAATGTCATTCTTTACACAACTGTTTGCCGAGTCCGGTGTCCGGCTCATGTGGAAACCCATCACTGTACTTGTGATGGTCCAAACCAGACTGAGAGCATCTCTGCGAAGAGAAGGTGACATAAAAATACTTTTCCTGTCAATTAATACAGCACTTAATGACATAATAATATTCACTGTATTGGATATAATGCTTTATCATGTTGTTCAAACAACGAGAACAACTTATCTATGTGGCGCCCCAGCATAGAGTACCAGAGGCATCTCAGAGGGCTTCACAGAATATATTGTAAACTCTCTGCTGCGTTCATCCACAAACACAGAGCCACCACAACTTATTGTGAAATCTTGTGAAGTGCTATTACTTGTAAGAAAGATAGAAGCCCATGGTATAAAAGGGAGAGTGGCAGTGTGGATCCAGAACGGGCTGAGTGACAGAAAGCAGAGAGTGGTGAACGGCTGCTTTTCTGACTGGAGGGAAGTGTACAGTGGTGTCCCCCAGGAATCAGTATTAGGACCACTGCTCTTCTTAACATACATAAATGATCTGCACTTGGGTATAGCAACACCATTTCCAAGTTTGCGGATGACACAAAGTTAGGTAGGGAGGTACACAGTGAGAAGGATAGGAGTCAACTGCAGGAAGACATAGACAGAACGGTAAACTGGGCAGACACATGGCAGAGGAGTTTCAATGTGGAGAAATGCAAAGTAATGTATTTTGGAAGAAAGAATGAGGGGAGGCAATATAGGCTGGTAATACAATCTTAAGGGGGGGGTGAAAGAACAGAGAGACCTGGGGGTTCAGGTAAATGAATCCTTGAAGGTGGCAGAACAGGGAGATAAGGCTGTAAAAAGGGCATATGGGATACTTGGCTTTATAAATAGGGACATAGAGTATACAAGAGTCAGGAGGTTATGATTAACTGATATAAACACTGGTTAGGCCTCAGTTAGAATACTGCGCCCAGTTCTGGGCACCACACTACAGGAAGGATGTTAAGGCATTGGAAAGGGTACAGAGGAGATTTACGAGGCTGGTACCAGGAATGAGGGACCTTGATCATGAGGAAAGGCGAGAGAGGTTAGGATTATTCTCATTGGAGCAGAGAAGGTTACGAGGAGACCTCTTCGAGGTCTTCAAAATCATGAGGGAATTTGATAGGTTAAAAAGGGAAAAACTGTTTCCACTGGTGGGTGTGTCGGTGACTCGAGGTCACAGATTCAAAATAGTCTCTAAAAGAAGCCGAGGGGAGGTGAGAAGGAATTTTTTCACGCAGCGAGTTGTTCGAATCTGGAACACATTGCCTGAAAGGGCGGTCGAGGCCAATTTGATAACTACTTTTGAAAACGTGGTGGATGGGTATTTGAGGAGGACGGGTTTACAGGGTTATGGGGAAAGGGCTGGGGAGTGGGATTGACATTACATTGCTCTATTCAAAGACCCAGCACAAACTCGATAGGTCGAATGGCCTCTTTTTGTGCTGTGCAATTCTATGATTCTATAAGACGTTTGGATGATGCTGTGCACAATCGGCTGCTGCATTTCACCCACAAAACACTCACAAAAATCTACACATACCTGTGAAGTGAGTGAGGATTTTCATCCAGTGAATTCCTGGCCAGGACACCGGGAGAGAGAAACTGCTTTTCTTTTCAAATAGGCCGTGGGATTTTTAACATCCAGAGGCACAGACAGGACCTTAGTTTAATGTCTCATCCAAAGGACATCACCTCCAACAACAGCACCTCCAACAACAGCCTCCAGCAACAGAATGTGCTGTGAAGTGAATTGACTATATATTTGTGGACGAAACGCAGCAGCCAATTGCACACAGCAGTGTCCCACAAACAGTCATGGATTGAGTGACCAAATTATTATTTTTTTCTTGAGGGATTACTATCAGGCTTGAGGACTAAACTTGCCCAAGGTTTTGCCCTGCCAGGAATCGAACCAAGATCTCTTGCTTGTGAGACGATTGCTCTAACCACTGAGCTACAGGACTCCACAACTATTAAGTGTTATTGGAGTATAATTCCAACGTGGGGTCTTGAACCCACAAACTTCTGATTCAGAGACGAGAAGGAGCCTAATCCAGCCAGACCAGTACTCACCAAAGACTTTCAGATGAAATGTAAGCTCATCTCTCTGCCGCAGCACCTTTCCCAGGTAGTTTGTTTGGATGCGATATTCTCCACTGTCTTCCATGTGGACATCTTTAAGTAACAAAGAGCGATTGACTGTGAGCTGAACCCGGTCTCTATAGAGAGGATGGACAATATGTGCATTTCCTATAGAGAAGGGCTGATCAGAATTCCAGCCGAGGATTTTAATTGAGTGTGGGCTTTCCCGGCGAGCTGTCACTTCGTATTTCATGTTGTTGTCGTGAATTACAGGGAACTGGACATCTTGACCGACGGAGAGATTGGTGACTGTGTCCGGGATGGCCCTCACAGCCGGGCTGCCCAGTCTGACACAGAGCAGGACTGAAAGAGGAGAAACAGCAAAAATTTACAAACAACAGCAACAACTTGCACTTATATAGCGCCCTCCACACAGGGCAGCATCTCAGAGCGCTTAACAGTGGTGGAGCCTAACTCCGAGCCGGGGGGATACAAGGGCTGTAAGCACAGTTGAAGAGGAAAGTCTTCAGGCGAGACTTGAAGGAGGGGAGAGTGGGGGCAAGGCGGAGGGATTGAGGGAGAGTGTTCCAGAGTTTTGGGGTCTGCTGCCGATCTCTGATGGTGGGTGCAAGGGACGAGTGCCAGGAGGTCAGAGTGGTAGGGAGCTGCCAGGGAGTGAAGGGATTTGAATACGAGTGTGAGGAACCTGAAGTTGATCTGTTTGTTAATGGGGAGTCAGTGGAGCCTGAGCCAGAACTGGTTATTGTGGGTACGGGCTGTGGTGGAGGGAGGACAGCTGGGGACCAAACTGGACGCCGAGGTTGAACACTGGTTCGGTGCATCTGAGGGAGAGCCCCGGGAGGTTGAGGAGTGAAGACATTTAAACTGCAGAGGTGAAGCACAAGACAACTGAGAGGTGGGACCTGTTGGTGAGTCTAACGCGAGTGGACAAAAAAAAAGCAGCAACAGCTTTTCTTCAGCTCCTTAACTCAAACCAAATAGATTCTGACATTAATTCCTCTGGACATCATCCCTTTCCAGGACTGAACAATAACTTTGATCAATATTGCCAACCCCATCAGCTTTATTTCCTACCCTATCCCTGCTAAATATATTTTATTCAATCATGGAATCCTGTAGCTCAGTGGTTAGAGCACTCGCCTCGCAAGAGAGAGACCTGAGTTTGATTCCCACCAGGACGAAATGTTGGGCAAGTTTTCTTATTCCATACGCCTCTGTTTACCAGGCAATAAATAGGAACCCGGGTGTTAATCGATTAGCAGATCGCTTTTCCAGAGGTAATAATCCCTCCAAAAAACAATCATAAATTAGTCATTTTAATCCATGACTGTTTGTGGAACATCGCTGTAAGCAATTGGCTGCCCGTATCACCCAGAAAATATATGGTCAATACGGTTCACAATATATTCTGTGAGGCGCTTTGAGACGTCTCGAAGATATGATAAGGTGCTATATCAAATGCAAGGATTATTATTGTTGCTATATTATTTGTAAAGGAAGTGCATGCAATTCATGGTGTGGGGAAGGGGGAGAAAGAGAGAGGGGGGGACACACAAATGCTGTATCTGATCACTGTAAATCAATGGCATATTAATCTTTGCAAGGACAGGCAGTTTAAAAAACTGTAGCCTTCAATGCAAAGTCTTGCTACTCTGTAAAAAGGAGATCTACCACTGCGGCACCAGAAAAAACCCAAACTTCCATACCCGGGTGAATATTACCTGTAATAATTCTGAAGAGAGTCACCATGTTTGGGGATCGGGGAATCTCCAGCCGACATCCTCTTACATTTGATAACTTTGCGGTTGTCTGTGCGCAAATTGGCTGCCGCACTCGCCTACAAAACACAGAGTTAACACACTTTACAGTGTATTCTTTGAAGAGGTTGAAATTATTATTATGATTAATATTGTCACCCCATTTGGCATTTGATCAAAGACGCTCATGTTTGAAAAGTGAACAGAGGAAACATTCAATATTTCCGAGACGTTCTCATTGTAAGGAAAGAGTTCAAATAAAATGATAACGCTGTGGAAATGTACTCTGTAGGAATGAACACGTTGATGTGACTCAGAGTCTCCAACTCTATTCACAAGAAACAATTCAACGGTTAATGCTTCAACACATACAATGATACACGCAGTAAAATTCAACAAAACCGTTCAATCATTAGAGCACTCGTTTCGCAAGCGATTCGATTCCCGGCCGGGCAAAATCTTGCGCAAGTTTCCTTACTACACACTCCTGATAATAATCACTCATGAAAAAAACTAATAATAAAAAAATTTTGGTCACTCAATCCATAGCTGTTTGTGAGACGCTGCTGTGTGCAATTGACTGCAGCATTTTGTCCAGAAATATACAGTCAATTTACTTTAAGGTCTATTCTGTGAAGCGCTTTGAGACATCTTGAAGACATGAAAAAGCGCTGTATCAAATGCAAAGGTTATTATCATTATTATTACCCAATTCCATTGAGAAAGTCGCTGACCACCAGCTGTTCACAACTGTTCCTCCTGCACTATTCCAAAGTGACATCTTTCTTTTATGTGTTTCTAACTCGCCTCCCCTTGTCAGAGAGACGGCTCCCACCCTTCGCTGGCTGCTGGAGACCTTGAACAAGCTCTTTTCCGGGAAAAGAACTGATAGGGAAACAGAGAGATAAACAGTATTTTGGGGGAGGGTTCTACCATGGATTCTTAGTGTGAGATAAGCAGATGTGCACGAGGGCATTTCTCCTTCTGAGGCCACTTGTTTTCACATCTGGCTCAAGGACATGATCAATTAATCTCAGAGGAGTGTCCGCCTGCTCAAGAGAATATGAAATCAGACTTGTGCCAGGGTCAAATGACTTCACTAACACTGGTTACCGCCCTTAAGCTAATCATTAAAACACACAACATTGTTCCTACCCCGGTAACTAAGGAATCCAATTCTAAAAAGACTATGAGTTTTGGTTACATTCCAAAAAGTATATCAAAGATTGGAATAGGTATTAGCAGTTGATTGACTGTCCTTTGATCAGCAAAAATAACCTTATCTTGAAACTGGTTGAGACTCTTCGATGATCAAAGAAGTTGAGTTATTGCTGACTTTTCTATACGAGCTGCGAACACAAGGAAGTTGGAGAGAGAGATGATCAAGAAGCCTGAAACACAGACAGCGGAAGCTCCAGAGACAGGTAACTGATCATTATCACTACCCACTTCTCTACTTGATTGATGCCTTATCCAATAGATTTTGTGTCAAAGTTGTGTTATTATTATTTGACAATCTAAATACAACAACAAAATTACATTTAGAGCGCGTTTCACGTTGGGAGAACGGCCCAAAGCTGAACAGTCAGGTGTTGCGGCCCGGGTATGGGGGAGGGGTGGTGTAGGGGTGAAGGAAGGCAGAGAGGTAGGAGGGCGACTGAATCATAGAATCATAGAATCATAGAATGTTACAGCACAGAAGGAGGCCATTCGGCCCATCGAGTCTGTGCGGCTCTTTGACAGAGCAACTGACTTTTATTAACCCCACTCACCAGCTTTCTCCCCATAACTCTGCAAACCCGTCTTCTCCAGATACCTATCCAGTTCTCTCTTAAAAGCTGTTATCGAATCGGACTTCACTACCCTTTCGGGCAGATCATTCCAAATTCTAACAACTCGTTGAGTGAAAACATTTCTTCTAACCTCTCCTCTGCTTCTTTTGGTAGATATCTTAAGACTGAAGGCACGATCGAAGAGAAGAGTCTTGAGACCAGCCTTGAAGGAGGCAATGGAGGAAGCGAGACGAAGGGATCGTGGGATGGAGTTCCAGAGTGTGAGGTGCTGGCCCGAGACACCCGGCCCACCTCAGGGTCCACAAGACCCCGGCCCAGCCTGCAGCTGCCGGTCCCTGCCTCTGGCTACCGGCCTCGATCCCCGGGAGACTAGCCCTGTGACTCCCTGCCACTGCCTGACTTACCTTCCGTGAGTCCCGCTCGGTTTTACTTGGGTTTACGATGCCCTCCCACTCGCTGGCTCCCAACTGTCCCTCCCACTCTCTGGCTCCCAACTGTCCCTCCCGCTCTCTGGCTCCCAACTGACCCTCCCGCTCGCTGGCTCCCGACTGTCCCTCCCGCTCGCTGGCGCGTGACTCTCCCTCCCACTCGCTGGTGCGTGACTCTCCCTCCCACTCGCTGGCTCCCGACTGTCCCTCCCGCTCGCTGGCTCCCAACTGTCCCTCCCACTCGCTGGCTCCCGACTGTCCCTCCCACTCGCTGGTGCGTGACTCTCCCTCCCGCTCGCTGGCTCCCGACTGTCCCTCCCACTCGCTGGGACAGTCAAGGATTGACAAGGATATAAAATTAATTTCGACATTTGATTTATTATCCGTCCCAAATAAACCATTCAGAAGGAGGTACTGAGGGAGGATCATCATTTTTATTACAAAAAATAATTTAGCGTCTTATTGTGTGTCCCTCCAAGTCCTGGTGCTGAGCCAGGCTGGGCTGGGCTGGGCTGCCATCAGCAATGCCCTGGAATACTGCGCACCCGTCTGGCTCAGGAACCGGAGTCTCTCCCGTTGGCCTGGGCAACACTCCCCAAATAAAACTAACCAGTCACTCCATGGCTACTTGTGGTTACGTGGAAATTAGCTGCCGCGATGCCCCAAATAAAATGATATCTGACAATGTGATCAGCCTCTACATGAAGTAGAAGAATTATTAATATTATTAATAAATGTAAAGCCAGGTTTTGCTTTCCTAAACCCATCCCGTTAAACAGAGGAGACTCAGCCAATGCTTTCAAATTCAGTAACAAGGCCAGACACACACACTTACCCTGCTTCTCACAGCGGCTTCAGAATGGAATAAGACCAATTTACTGTAAAAATAATCTACTCCAAGGGTAAATGTCATCTCTCCTGGGAATTTTGACTGTTGGGGACTTTGATCTCATGTAACTAACAGATTTCTACAGGTGAAGCAATGCTTCATGTATTTGTTTCAAACCTTAGGATGATTAAGATAATATGAAACATTAATATAAGTAATCATACAATGTCTTTAATTATCTATTAATATTCTGTAAAATTTACCAACAATGCTGTAAACACTGCCGACTTATTATTATGAAAGGGCAACTTACTGCTGGGAATTTTTTGTAATTACTTTTGAAAAATTCCGAGTTGCTGGTGATTTCCACGACAACTTTATATGTTAATATAGACTTGACATCTGTCCCCAGGAAGGGGATTTGCATCTCTCCCCACGCAGGGGATTTCAATTTTTAAGGTCAGACAATCATATCATGAGTAACAAATTAAATACAACCAGTGATCACACAGCGAATGGAAACCAAGGCTAAGTGCAGAGGCTGTGAATGTAAAAGAGAACATTTACTGTATCAGGAAACCGTGAGAAAGCCACAAACAGCACATTTAAACACATAGTGGATTAGTCTCAGTTACCTTCTCTCTTACATTTTCACTCACCGCTTTCTGCAATAAAAAATAGAAATGGCAGTTGTAACTTTACATATTGTCTATGTATATAACAAGCTCCGCCCTCAATACATTATTGGGCCACGTTTAGCTGACAAATTGATGTAGTCAGCCCTGTGTGTGACACATGTGGAAACCCATCACCATGTTTAAGAATATCCAAATCAAGTTGAGTTTCCATGCATCCCAACCCACCTACACATGGAAATCCCACAGATAGATTGTTGGAATGCGCTCTCTTCCTATGGAGGAACAAATCCTGTTTACCTAATTGCGGAAAAAGTATTAGGCACAGGATGGGAAGAGCCAAGGCTTGGGGACCCATGAGTATCTGTTGGGGTAACTGCTGGAGTCTAACCAGCAAACCATACAGCTTGCCATTGATATCACTGTCTGGCAAGCTCGGTCCAGCTCGGACAATTAACTTGTAAGGTTAACAGGAACTGAGTGGTATGTGTCATGGATACCTTGTGTTTATTAATGCTCTACCTCATTCTAACAATATTGGCTGTAGATAGTCTATATATAGAAAGTTTGGGTTGAAATAAGCCGCTTTGCTTTAAGAGTAATTATGATTCGGGCACCACAATATAATTTTATAGCGGGACAGCCTTGGAGACGCAAAGTCAGTGATCTGGGTGAGTGTTGCAACAAAAAGGCAGGAAAAGAGGTTGTGTGGAGCCTGGAGCGGCAAGTGACATATTGGATGGGAAGGAGTTAAAATAGGAGGCGGCTCATTGGACTCAAAGTCGCTCTTGGCGTTAGTGTCATCAAGGGAGGGTTGCCTCCGGGTCAAGATTGTTTTTCTTTGTTTACTAACGTTAGATAAAGCTGCCGGTGACACAGTTCTGCTGTCAGGGTTTTATTTTTTGTTCAAGTTGTGACCGTCTATTTTATTGTCGGGCGTGTAAGTGAGCCATAGGGTCCATTGTTAGGACCAATAAAATACCGTTGTCTTCTCTAAAAAGTGCATCTCGAGTCTCTGTTAAATTCAAGGAGGGAGAGAGAGACACAAACAGGTTAATGAGAAGTCATCTGTCTGAGAGTGCGAAGGGCACTGACTGAAGTGTCCCATTGTTGCGCTATAAGGCATTGGGATGACCTGTCGTTGTGTTAATTCTCATATAGAGTTCTCAGCAGAACTCACAGAGAACAATCTACACAGAAGCCACGAGTACACTGGGCCCTTCACATAACATGTGTAAACATTCAGAGGACTCCCTGTCCCCAGTGATTGGTCTGCCCTGCAAGGTCCTGCCAATGAGCCAGGCTGGGCTGGGCTGGGCTGGGCTGGGCTGTCAGCAGCAATGACCTGGAACCCTGCGGACCTGCCTGGCTCAGGAACCAACTCCTGCTCTGTATCACACTGGTTGCTCTGCACTGTGTCGCACTGGTTGCCCTGCACTGTGTCGCATTGGTTGCCCTACACTGTGTCACACTGGTTGCCCTTCACTGTATCAAACTGGTTGCCCTGCACTGTGTCACACTGGTTGCCCTTCACTGTATCAAACTGGTTGCCCTGGACTGTGTCACACTGGTTGCCCTGCACTGTGTCGCACTGGTTGCCCTGCACTGTGTCACACTGGTTGCCCTTCACTGTATCAAACTGGTTGCCCTGCACTGTGTCACACTGGTTGCCCTTCACAGTATCAAACTGGTTGCCCTGCACTGTGTCACACTGGTTGCCTTGCACTGTGTCGCACTGGTTGCCCTTCACTGTATCAAACTGGTTGCCCTGCACTGTGTCACACTGGTTGCCCTGCACTGTGTCGCACTGGTTGCCCTGCACTGTGTCGCACTGGTTGCCCTGCACTGTGTCGCACTGGTTGCCCTGCACTGTGTCGCACTGGTTGCCCTGCACTGTGTCGCACTGGTTGCCCTGCACTGTGTCGCACTGGTTGCACTGCACTCTGTCGCACTGGTTGCCTTGCACTGTGTCGCACTGGTTGCCCTGCACTGTGTCGCACTGGTTGCCCTGCACTGTGTCGCACTGGTTGCCCTGCACTGTGTCACACTGGTTGCCCTGCACTGTGTCACACTGGTTACACTGCACTGTGTTGCACTGGTTGCCCTGCACTGTGTCGCACTGGTTGCCCTGCACTGTGTCGCACTGGTTGCCCTGCACTGTGTCGCACTGGTTGCCCTGCACTGTGTCACACTGGTTGCCCTGCACTGTGTCACACTGGTTGCCCTGCACTGTGTCACACTGGTTGCCCTGCACTGTATCGCACTGGTTGCCCTGCACTGTGTCGCACTGGTTGCCCTGCACTGTGTCGCACTGGTTGCCCTGCACTGTGTCGCACTGGTTGCCCTGCACTGTATCGCACTGGTTGCCCTGCACTGTGTCACACTTGTTAGAAAATAAAATCAGCCAAATCTGTAAGGAAATAACGCTAATTCCTCTAACCAGATATCAGACTGTTTTATTATAATTCGTTCGTTATTCACCAATATCCCGATGGGTCAGACCATACAATCAACAGATCTTATAACGGAATAACACCACTATAGATATCTCGGTTGAAGAGTTCAACACTGTGTCTTTCCAGCACACAAGTTTGATTCTTCATGTTTTCAGTCTTCTTGCTTACAGCTTTCAATCTTCCATCTGATATCCTCAGTCTTAGTGTTTCCAGCTCTCAGTCTTCCATCTCTGTACCCTTGTCTCCGCAGCCCGGGACGGTCCATCTCCCGTATCCTTGTCTCCGCGACCCGGGACTGTCCATCTCCCGTATCCTTGTCTCCGCGACCCGGGACGGTCCATCTCCCGTATCCTTGTCTTCGCAGCCCGGGACGGTCCATCTCCCGTATCCTTGTCTCCGCGACCCGGGACGGTCCATCTCCCATATCTTTGTCTCCGCGACCCGGGACGGCCCCGTACACAAAGTTATCGGAACTCTTATACCAATGTTCATCCAATCATGGTGCCGACATTAGATCACCGCACCGTCGAAATCATGCCGGGTTCACGTGAACACCTCATGGGGTGTACGTGCCTCACACACACAAACACACTGTCCTTGAGACAGTCCGTCATCTCGTGTACGTGTAGGGAGTTTCAGTCCAGCTGCCCACAACACACTTAACTTAAAAGTTAACCCGTTCGCAACATCTATTATGATTCTAACATTATACAAAAAGTGTAAATTCTAACACACTGTTTTCCCTGCACTGTGTCGCACTGGTTGCCCTGCACTGTGTCGCACTGGTTGCCCTGCACTGTGTCGCACTGGTTGCCCTGCACTGTGTCGCACTGGTTGCCCTGCACTGTGTCGCACTGGTTGCCCTGCACTGTGTCGCACTGGTTGCCCTGCACTGTGTCGCACTGGTTGCCCTGCACTGTGTCGCACTGGTTGCCCTGCACTGTGTCGCACTGGTTGCCCTGCACTGTGTCGCACTGGTTGCCCTGCACTGTGTCGCACTGGTTGCCCTGCACTGTGTCGCACTGGTTGCCCTGCACTGTGTCACACTGGTTGCCCTGCACTGTGTCGCACTGGTTGCCCTGCACTGTGTCACACTGGTTGCCCTGCACTGTGTCACACTGGTTGTCCTGCTCTGTGTCACACTGGTTGCCCTGCACTGTGTCGCACTGGTTGCCCTGCTCTGTGTCACACTGGTTGTGTGGGTGACCTCAGGTGATGTCTGTGTCGGGGAAGATGTCCAGTTCCATGTAATTCACCACAACAACTGCATGAAATACCAAGTGACAGCTCATGGTCAACAGCT